GTCAATGTCAATATCAATTCCACAGTCTTGGAGAGAAGAAGCAGCACTTTCAGATGATATCAGACAGTGTGGCAATACAACTTATAGCTATTGAGCATTAGAGTGATGTATGGTGACATGTAAAATCTTGGGACAGTTTATGCATGTACTGTATGTTTCTGTCTTTTAGCAGCAATGACATCATACTTAGACTCTCCCCGATTGCCAGTATCGGGACCCAAAACTTTCACATGAACAAGTAAACTCGATGTTGAAAAGGCCGTATTTCCTGCAATGTTTCCTGCAGAAGGATGAGCAGCTCGGCTGGATGGTATGCAAACAGATCTGAGAGTGGAGAGTCTCGTCGGAAGATTTGCAAGCATGACGATGTGGATGAACAGAAAAAGAACACGAATCTATGCCCATGGATGGCGCCCAAGAAGGATCAGAGATGACTTGCGAGCTCGGTGAACCGTCGGAGAGAAAAACGGTATGACGGCAGCACAGCAGGCGAGCAAAAGCGAGACAGACGCACGTTCCATCATGTTGCTGACACCTGTCAGATCTTCGCGTTTCGTTTGGAAGAGAGGCAAGATCGGGAAAGCCGACAAAGTTTGAATTGAACCGCTGCTCCATCTTTGAACGGCTTTGCCGAGATCGAAATCCATATTAGCGAAAAAGCTTCCGTGTCACGCCGGAGATGCGCTGCGTGGTTGTAAGACATGCATCTCATCACACTCGAGCAGAACGATAACTTTGTTCACATGAGAAGGACCGGCAACAGGAGGCGATGATGGAACGAGATAGGAAGGAAATTCGGCCAGTCGGCATCTGCAACGCTATTCAATCGGCCGCAATAGAGATAAAAGAGAAGCTATCACTCGGACTAAACATGACATACTGGAGAACATGTCATCAGCGCGGCGGAAGAAGGGCGAAGCAACGTGTTCCGTTTATGCGATGTCCCTCGCTGCTGTTGGACTCGACTTGATCGAATCTGAATCCGAACCTGTGTGGTTGTGGATTGCGGACTAGATCGTCAGATCTGTCTTGCCTTGCTTCACCGAAACGTCGGCGTGGTCTGGTGTGGCCGTTGGTCGGTCTGGGCTGTGGGCTGGGCCTTGAGAATTGGCTACGGAACGCCGGACATAGTCAGGGCAACGAGCCACGGGAGTCAGGACAAATTCGAATGGAGAATCACCACATTTTTCGGCCATTTTTCGACTCGGCGACAAGGCATTGATTGCTTCAATACCTAGACCTGCTGTCACCACGGCAGCCAAGCAGTTCGAAAATGCGGAAATTTCTTGGAAAATTCAGCCCAGGCAAATACAGTAGCGCCATGGTGCGATTTTGTATTCACGACGCCCACAGTTTGTATTGCTTTTGCGATCCCTGCTGCTCCTGAGAGCGGCCTGTGCCAGCTTTGACTCCTTTTCGGACTATCTTTTCATTTTGAATTTGGATTCCTGTTGCTCGCTGGCTGAACGGCTCGAGTCGGGCTGGCTTGCTTTTTGCTTGGTGCTTGGTGGACTGCATTTGGAAATGTGTTTGTGTGTATTTGTGAGCAGACACAATCGACATGATGCGATGTGGCTGGCTGAAGGAAGGTAGCTGAGCTGCCTGCCATTCAACTGCTCATCGGAAGCGTTCAAGTCGAAACTGGCTAACCGGCCAGCGCGGCCTGTTCAGCGAACAGCAGCCAGACAGCAGAGAGACACACACACAGCACAGCACAGCACAGCACAGCACAGCACACGCAATTGGTCTGCCCACCTCTTTTCCTTCAATTCCCAGTCAATTCAGCCCACACACAGGGCAAGACTGCGTGCTGAAGCCTCCTTTTTCGTCAACTCTCACACTGCAGAGACACTCCGCTGTTCCACTTGACCGATCGCTTGCTCCTCTCCACCACCCACCACCACCAACACACTCACCTCCATTTCGTCATCATTATCATTGTCGTCTGCCCCACCATCTCCTTCTGGGTCTACGACTGATTCGACGAAACATTCCTACGCAACATCCCGCTTTCTCTCGCATCGATACCGGTGCCGATACCAACTCAAACTCAGCATTCGCAACGTTCCGCCAGCGACTCTCGGACTTTGGTTCTTTTACGCCGCTACCTAGCTTTCCGCAGCACTACCATCTCCGCATCTCAGCTTGATCTACCGACGCCTGCTCTATTCGTCATTGTCATCAGCACACTGCTCAGCACCACCATCATCATCATCGCCGTGCAACACTCAGCCAGCCGAAACATCCTGTCCCACTTCGCAGGCTGAGCTGAACCAACATCACCACTTTCCGCATCTAGTCTTCCGCACTCCAGCGAAATAGCCAAGATGGATCTTCGTGTCGGCGGCAAGTACCGCATCGGTAAGAAGATTGGTTCCGGTTCCTTCGGTGACATCTACCTCGGCATCAACATCATCTCTGGTGAAGAGGTTGCCATCAAGCTTGAGTCCATCAAGGCCAAGCACCCTCAGCTCGAGTACGAGGCCAAGGTCTACAAGACCCTTGCTGGTGGTGTCGGTGTCCCCTTTGTACGATGGTACGGTCAGGAATGCGACTACAATGCCATGGTCATCGACCTTCTCGGCCCTTCCCTCGAGGACCTCTTCAACTTTTGCAACCGCAAGTTCTCGCTCAAGACTGTCTTGCTTCTCGCTGATCAGATGGTATGTATATCACGTACCTTTCTCTCTTCTCGTCGCCATCATGCAAGCATGCTCCGCTCGACATCACCCTACCGCATGCTGCATCGGTCGATCACGACAGCCACGGTCCACTCAACATTGCTCTGCTGATCCACAAGTATGCTGACTTCCTTTTCCCCCTGCCCTTTCTTCCGCACCATGCCCTCTTCTTTTGCAGATCTCGCGAATCGAGTACATCCACTCCCGCAACTTCATCCATCGTGATATCAAGCCCGACAACTTCCTCATGGGTATCGGCAAGCGCGGCAATCAGGTCAACGTCATCGACTTTGGTCTCGCCAAAAAGTACCGTGACCCCAAGACCCACCTTCACATCCCCTACAGAGAGAACAAGAACTTGACCGGTACCGCCCGTTACACCTCCATCAACACCCATCTCGGTGTTGAACAGTCCCGACGTGACGATCTTGAGTCTTTGGGATACGTTCTCATGTACTTCCTCCGGGGCTCTCTCCCGTGGCAAGGTCTCAAGGCTGCCACCAAGAAGCAGAAGTACGACCGCATCATGGAGAAGAAGATGACCACCCCTACCGAGCTCCTCTGCCGAGGCTTCCCCTCCGAGATGGCCATTTACCTCAACTGCTGCCGATCCCTCCGCTTCGATGACAAGCCCGACTACTCTTACCTCCGCAAGCTCTTCCGCGACCTCTTTGTTCGTGAGGGCTTCCAGTACGACTACGTTTTCGACTGGTCCATCCAGCAGCGCAGCGAGGACGCCAAGGCCGAGCCCGTTGTCAATCAGCAGCAGATGAAGCAGCAGCAGGCCGCTCAGCTTCCTCGCCGCAAGGTCCTCGCTCAGGAGGGTGACGAGGCTGTCAACAACGGCATGGACACCACCCGTGCTGCTTACGGCACTGCTCGCCCTGCTGACAAGGCTTACCTTGCTTCGCAGAACATGCCCAGCTCCTCTCGCCCGCTCAAGCGCGAGGACCAGCCTGGCTACTACTAAGCAGCGCTTCGAAGAGGTCTTTCAGCGTCTCTGAGGTCTTGATGATCTCGTGCGCGCTGGTCAGTCATTCTCGCTCGAAGTGGATGACGCTGGAGAATCGGAAGGCGCGGCGTTGCCGGTCATTGCAGTTGGAGCAGGGCAGCGTTGCAGACGGGCCATGATGATTGGGTACATCAACAAAACTCAGCCACTGGCATGCTCTCCACACACTCTATGACTCGACTCTCTTTACAGCTCTTCCACTCTCAAAACAAACACACACAATCTTGACACTACACGGATCTTATTCTCTTACGGTACGGACGGTCGGGCAATTGCTTGGTTAAAATCATGACACTCTTTCTTCACATTCAAAAGTTGTGAAGATTTTTCTCAATCCATCTTTTCCTCGCGGATATGCGAGAGGGCTTCATAGGAAATTAAAGGACAGGTGTCCACAGTCATGATTTACTCAACAGACCAAGCAACCAAGGTGGTTACACGCTGCTGCTCCAGCTACAGCGACAGCAGCAACAATATCGTTTCTTCCATCCTCTTTGGCGCAAGGCTCGACGTCTTCGATATCATTCTCATACAAGATCCTAGTCAAGATCGTCACTCCTCATTTTTGCAGCATGTTTTCCCAAATCTCTCAAGTCTTTCGACTCACCGCTCGAATAGAGCTTTCCACTCAGCACATGCTTTGCATTGGCGTCTGGCCAATGCGAACAACGCCGTGCTGGTCAAGGAAAGCTTCTGCCTTCCGAAAGGACGTCGTCAGAAACCAACGCCAACTGTCCACGGTCTTTACTCCAATCACTTTTATCCACCCCGCTCCTCTCTCCACTTCCCCTCACGCGGCACTCTTCTCCCGTTCTCGTCGTCATCGCATGTTTTTGTTCTTCTGTCATCACGATGTTGATCTCTCCACTCTCAGCTTTTTCCATACTCATATGTGTTCTTTTCATTCAGTATTGCGTCTGAGGCTGTGTTGCTGAGCGAATGTGAGAACGAGTGGATCTCCACGCTGAAGTCTCTGCGTCTCCCTCTCCAAGAACCGTCTCGGCTCAAAAGGAAGTTGGCTGATTTGCGAAGAACTGCTGGCAAGGCACAAACTATTCTTCACCGCAGATGGGGAGGTAAACTCGTACATTGTTCTTGTTTCGTCCGCGGAGAACGTCAAGCGAGAACGAAGGTTTCTCTCACTCGCACAGCCTCTCTTAGCCACCGTCGCCAGTGACAAATTGTAGATGCTGCTCTCACGCACTCTTGCGGCAAGGTCAAGCACGGACTGGCACCACACACGAGAGAACAGAAGTTGAATGCATTGCTACCATCTCGACCAAAGGATCCCATCATACGGCTGAGAATCACTGCCCCCTGATCCCGGCACGGTGAATAGCCCACTCCTTCTCAACCAAATGAGTAACCTTTTCCACCGTAGCCATCAACTTGTTCGTATCCGCACTCCAATCGTTGAGCACATCTGCATTGCTTTTTTTCTTTTCAAAGTTGACCAATCCTGATGGGCGATCCATCTTAGCAAAGATTGTACCTGAGCTTACCAGGTCCGCCAACGAAGACTCCGATTGTGCTGGCGAGAGGTCCAACAACTCGGAAAGACGCTTGAGAGTGATTCGAGTGTAATATTGGGAAATGACCCTGATGTTGTGCTCGACAACACGTTTATGAAGTTCTTCCCAGCGATGGTTACCTTCTTTGGGCTTCTCGCCTTCCTTGCTAGGGGCGATCTTGGGTTTCGAAGCCGGGTTGAAAGTGGGTGATTGACGAAGGAGAGGTCCGTAGAGAGTTTCGATTCCAGGCCAACGCATCAATTCTGGCGTAGTAAAGCATTTGAGCAGGTTCTTGTGCTCGGGTACCTGATCTAGCTCTTCCATTGCCTCAACTCTCGCCATCAAGTCGCTCTGTTCGTTATCGAACTTCGCCAGCGCAAGGAAAACGACAACGTTTCGCAACGCCTCCCTTCGCTTCTCTTCATCATTTTTGACCATATCGGTATCGTAGATCTCGCGATAGTACTTGCAAATATCGAGGAACTTGTCTTCGCGCAGCGCATACTCAATCATCAACTCGTAGTATCGCAACTTGAGATCGTGATGCTTGGGGTTGTCGAAGAGTTTTGTGTTGATCTTCTTGCTGACGATAGCCATTTTGGCTAGATCGTTACGTTCGTAGTTCAAACGCATCTGTTCCAAGATGAACTCGGCTTTCTCCCGCCTATCCATGCTACCGAATGTCTCGACGGCGAGATCTTGCAACGCATTCGCAGCCTCATTCACCTTCCCTTTGGTATAAAGCATTTTGGAGAGGAGTAGGGTAACTCTAGCCCTCTCAACCTCAACAAAGATCTTTCCCTCCGTAACCGTCCTCAACAACTCAACAATCTTCATCCTCTGTTCCTCCGTCACCCCCTCATCTCCAATCCTCTTTCCTGCATCCATAAGTTCCAACACCTTTGCGTTTTGCGCACCAACCTTCTCCTTCTTCCTCTCCTCCGCAGCTTCTTGACGCTTCCTTGCATCTTGAGCTTCCTTGGACTCTTTCTTCCCCTCCTCTTTCTCCTTCTTCGCCTGTTTTTCAGCATCCTTTCTCGCTTTCTCCTCCGCAAGATCCTTCATCTCCTCATCTTTAAGCTCTTGCTCCTTCCTCCTCTCCTCTTCCGGATCAACTGCAGGGTACAAAAAGCACATTACCAACTGAACCATTCTCGTGGTCGCCATCTTCAGTTGTCCGTGCTTTTTAGACAGACTAGTCACCGTCATCGCGAACAGGTCCCAGTTTGTCTTCGCCGGAGAGGGAGTATTGCGGACCAGGAGGATAGCGAGAAGGAGAAGCCGAGTGGTGGAGTTTAGATCGGCTGCATTACGAGATTTCTTTTCGAGTGCGAAGACCTTCTCGAGGGCAAGAGGGAGCTGGGAGGAGGAAGCGAGAGATTGAGTTTCAGGGATAAGGCTATCGACTTCGGAGGTGAAGTCCGCTTCTTGTTTCTTTTCTGGGGCCGACATGTTGGGCAATGAATGCGCGTTACGATGACGTGTTGCTGTACAGGTCGGATACGTAGAGTGTGGCTGGTGTAGATAGAGAAAAGCGTGGTGTGGGTGCGGTTGGAAGTGATGAGAAGAGCAAGCGAAGAGTTGGGAAAGTGCTGGTTGACGCTGAGGCGTTTGTTCGTGTGGGCTTGTGCAGCTGCGAATTTACTTGAGAAGTGGAGAAATGGAGGCGGCGTGGCCTTCGATCACAATTCCAATTCGCCTCTCACAGCTCCAGGCTGCGACATTCCCTGACCTCAAGACGCGTCTCAAGCTCACTATATGTGTTAGTCAGCATGTGTAATCCATGTCCGACAGCAGCTCTTGCTCTAGTCATTCGAGCTTGCTCACTGCTCGTCTTGGGTACACAGCCACCGAACAGCCTCACGACGGAAAGCATGCTGTCAAAGTAAGTAGTTGAGAACGCAAAGATATTGAAAATACATGATAGAAAAGGTCAACAAGATCAAGAGACTGGCGTTTAGTCCTCCTCCGTAGCATGATACCCGGCCTTCCTCATAGCACCCAACACCCTCCTCGCCTGCGTCAACTCCTTCTCCAACTTCAATACTTCCACCTGCTGTTCCATTTCCTTCACCTTGAACTCATGCGCAGCCATCGAGGAATAATCGAAATCAGCTGCACCGTTACTTTGCCTATCAGTAATGGTCTTAACCTGCTTCACCAACGCCCTACAAGCATCTGTAACCGCCTTCGCTGCTCTCTCCAACCTATCCTGCGTCTTGGACATGAATTCAGCCTTAACCCTCGATGCGGCAACCACCTGCGCTGTAGCAGCTGAAACCTCGTTCGATGCCACGATGAGCTGTTCGAGCGAATGAGTGCCCATAATCACTCCATCTGCCGCTTCGATCAACATTGTTGTCGCAAACGCAACCGCACGGGCAGCGGAAATGAGACCTTCGGTCCATCGATTGTTCTTCTTGTAGAACTGTTGGTTGGTCGATGAACCTCTACCCTTTGCAACGATTTCTTGTTGCGACTCGGTAGCGGCTTTGATCAGTCCTGCGATAGCACGTGTGATGGCCAACGAAGCTTCGAGGATCGCATCGTGAACTTGCAAGTCGACAGCAGAGTACTTGTTGTGATCCCTCGGTCTGGAAAGCAATGCCTGCAACTTGGCAGTAGCTGCATCGATAGCGGAAGCAGCGTTCATCATCTCGCGCTCAACAATGTCTCCGATATCACCGTTGGCGTTGGCAAGCATGGCATTACCAGCCTTGAGCATGGTTTCGACGACACTGTTGAGGTTGGCGAATGCAGAACGGGCTTCCATGTTCTGGCGTGCAACAACGTCACGACGCTGAGCAGGGGCAACACCGGCCAAACGGTACGATTGGAGGTTGCCAAAGAAGCGGAGCAGAACATTACCAGTCTCGCGACCAGTACCGATGAGTTTGTCTGCTGCATCATCGCTCTGTGCGAGACGAGTGATGCCCTTGGTGCTGGTAAGCGTGTCACTGATCGTCTGAGCAAGCTGGTTGGCACGCTTGATGACTTCAACGTGCTCGCCTCCAACCTCGCCCGACAAGTAGAGCGAGAAGACGGCAGCAAACTCGTTGGTCGAAGTGGTACCCTTTTCGATCATCGACAACACATACTCGGGCGTAGCAGTCGTGTTACCGGTGCCAGAAGGCGACTCGAGCTCGTAAAGCGCATCGTCAACCTTGTCGGCACACGCCTGAAGGATTGAGTCGATGATAGCATTGAGCTTTTTGGTGTTGTCGAGGATGAGAGTATCGATTTGGGCATTGACGGCCTGATCGTTCTCGCCCTGGTTGAGCTGCATATCGTTGAGCTGCTTGATGGTGGCATCCATACCTTCCTGCATGATGGCCAACTCGGCGTCCTTCTCGTCGCGAATGCGGGCCAGCTCGGCATCGCGTGCATCCAACTCTATGCGCTTCTCCCTGAGCGAGTCCTCAAGCTCAGCAATCTGTCGGTTGAGAGTCGACATCATACCTGACAACTCGGAGCTCTTGGCATGCGTAGCATCCTCTGCACGCTCATTAGCAAACATAAGGTCACGCTTCAGTCGATCAAACTCCTCCTTCTGACTCGCCTTGATCCTATCAAGATCGAAACGAGCACGGTCTCGCTCGCGTATCATATCGGCAAGTTCGAGGTTCTTGGCCTTGACATCGCGCTCCATACGCTCCATCTTGTCGACGGCCTCTTGTGCACTACCAGCTTTGATCTGCATCTGCTTGTATTTGCCAAGCATCTCGAGGTGCTCCGTACGCAGCTGGGAATAAAGTTTAGCGAGCGCCTCGTACTTGTTGCGCCAGAGCGTGACCTGGTCTTGAAGCTGCTTAATGAGGTCATCCTTGCCTTGCATCTGTGCGCCAAAGTTCTGCCCGATGTTGACGAGTTCTGTCTCGAGAGCCTTGACACGTCGATCGTACTGTTCGAGCATGAGCTGGTCCCGTTCGTACTGTCCACGCATAGCCAGAATCTCTCGTTCGAGCTCGGCAAGACGACCACCGTGCATCTGCACCATTTGAGCACGCATGAGCTGTTCCTGTGCAAGACGTTGCTGTTCGGCCTGTAGACGCTGCTGTTCGGCAAAATCACGCTCCTGCTTGGCGGCCAGGTCGGCTTGTCTTTGCCTCTCCGCTTCCTCCTGTGCTTTGAGAGCAGCCTGCTTGTCTTCGTACTGCTTGAGCAAACGTGCCTGCTCATCGATCTCGGCTTGTGATGGACCTGGGTCTGGTGTTGGTGCCTTGGGCGTCTGTCGGGGTGGAAGGTAAGGACCTTCCTCGGGCAGCTCGAAGAGGTTGGGTGGGTCGTGGTTGAGCTTGGGAACGTTGATGAGGGAAGTGAGGAACTTGAGATTGGCGCATTCGTAGTAAAACTTGCGAAGAGAGTGATGCTGTGAGTCGTAACGCTCTCGCAATGGCTGAAGGGCATCACTGGCATCGGTACGTCGGTGCATAGCACGAAGCATAGACGTCAAGAACGTGTAGATACCGTAGCTCTCCTTGACAAGGGGTACAAGTGCCGATATACGGCACTCGTTGCTGGCCGAGCCGCGGAAGTGAGCAAAGACGAGTTTCTGGAACTGCTCGATCTGATCCTGAAGGTTCATGAGATCCATGATGGTCTCGTAGCCCTCATCCGGGTTGTCGATGTTCTTGAGAGAAATGTACTCTTCATACTCGAAGAGACCGTTGAATTCCTTGTGGTGACGATGGAAGCGGAGCTTAGCGAGGATGAAGTTGACATAGGCACGAATGAGCGAACTGTAGCCACGCATGCTATCGGCACCGACGGTACGTGCGCATGTCTCGAACCATCCGATCTGGGCCTGTGCTTCCTTGAGCACAACCTGGTGGCCTTCCTGAAGGACCTTGTGGACGAGAATGAGGGCTTTGAAGGTCTGAACTTCGTCGCTGAGGATAGGCTGTACACGGAGACCGGTCCAGATGGATTGAGATGTGCGGTAGTCCCAGGTGTAGACGATACATTTTCGAACGTGCTTCTGCTTGGGAGCTGTCTCTTCGGTGCTGGTGGCCTTTTTGATGTTGATGGAGAGCTCGGATTCGGCTTTGTCACGGTCGACGGGCCGCGTAGGCATGTGGTTGTCGTCGAAGCGGGGCCTGCGATTGCGAAGCGGCAAAGATCAAGGAGGAGTTGGATGTCAGACCAGACGATTGGCTGGTATCATCGAGTCAGGCTGGATGTACTTACATCTTCAGATTCCAGTGCCGGCGTTACGATGAGAACTTGACTTCCGCCGGTGTGGAGAAGAGGCTCGTTGAGCTACCAGTGTCGTATGTGCCGAAGCGGATAATGCAATATGATGTTGATGAAGGAATGGATTGGAAGGAGCGAAGGCGAAGTGAAGTGAAGTGGAGATAGAGAGAGCGAGGATCGTATTGAGTGCAAGGCTTGCTTGCTGCTCAGGCCAGGGTCGAGTCGAGAAGGGTAAAGGAGAAGAAGCGGTGTGACGCTTGCCGATGCTCCGATGCGATGGGCTGGGGATAGGCAGAGCGTGGATGCCAGATCGGTGCTCTTCGGTGCGTGTGCCAAAGCGAAGCGAAGAAAGGGTTCTCTCTCACACACCCTCTCTCGAGCACAAATACAGGCAAACGCGTGTTGAAAATTAGCAGTTGAAGATGCGTCGGAGTTGAGAATTTTGGTGCTTAGTTACTAATGAGTCATTTTTGAGTGCTATTTACATAAGCATATATATATGTGTGTAATTAGCAGTTACCTTCAGCCTGTGCCCATCTATGACTAGTTCACCCCTCACATCGCTCCTAAGTTGTCATGGTAATGCCTATGCATCCCACATGTGTAGCCACCAACATGTGGTTTCATATCAACAATGGTTATTTGCCCTCCATGGACCCTGTAGGCTCTGTCCAGTTCTGATGCGTCTCCAACTATAGTTACGTTTCCCTCAACTGTCTCCCTCAGCAGGGAAGCGGGGAACTGCTGAGCCACTGTACCTTGTTGTGGTGTTAGTCCCAACCCCTGCCATGCACATCATAATACTTCCTTGCCTACTGGCTTGGTAAAGATGTCAGCCAAGTTGTCCTTGGTGCCAATATATTTGATTTTGACATTTCCATCTTGCATGTTATCTCTGATAAAGTGGTACTTGGTGTCGATATGCTTCAACTTCCAATGTTGTGCTGGATCCTTACTAACCTGAATGGTGCCTGTGTTGTCTGAAAAGATTGTGGGGGTGCTGACATCAATTCCAATAGCTTTGAAGAGATGCCTGAAGAAAAGTATTTCTTGTGCAGCTTCAGTTGCTGCCACAAACTCTGCTTCCACTGCTGACAAAGCAGTGCAGCGCTGTAGTGCTGACTTCCATGTGACCAGGTTCCTGTGTACAAACACTGCTGAGCCTGATGAGCTTCTTTGTTGTGCGGTAGCATCACTTGCCCAGTTTGCGTCACTATGCGCCATTAGAAACTCTTGTTCCTTGTTGCCACCATATCGTAGATGGACATCCTGGGTGCCATCTAGGTATTGTAGTACCTTCTGCACTGCATTGCAATGCTCTTTTGATGGTTGAGTCATATAGCATGCAAGGACCCCTACTGCTTGGCTGATATCTGGGCATGTTCCATTCAAGAGCCATAGGAGCTTGCCAACAATCTGCAGGTATTCCTTTTGTTCGGCTGTGCTCACTGCTGTCTCTGGGGCTGGTATGTCTTGGAGCAGTATGCTGGATTTTCTCCTGCATTTGTCTAGGTGTTTGTCCAGTAGCTGTTTAATGTAACTGGTCTGCCTGAGGTCCATTGTCTTTTCTTTGCAATCCCTGGTGATCTTGATTCCAAGGAAGTGAGACACGTTGCCACCCTCCTCCATCTTCCACTTCTTGCCTATTTCCTCCTTGATGCATTTGACCATTTCTAGCTTTGGAGATATAATCAATGTATCATCAACATAGATAATCACTATTGCAAAGTTGTCCCCTTTTCCTCTAGTGTAGATACATGGTGTGCAATCAAGTCTATGGAAGTTCAAGCACTGCAGGAACTTATTGAACTCCATGTTCCACTCCTGTCCTGATTGCTTGAGTCCATATAACCCTTTCACTACCCGATAAGCTTTTCCTTTTGGTACCTTTGCCCCTTCTGGCAGTTTCATATAGATAACATGCTTGAGTGTGGAGTTGAGGTAGGCCATCATGATGTTGAGTTGATGGACCTCCCAGTCCTGCTCCACTGCCAGTGACAACAGGGCTCTTATTGCACTAAGTGGTGCCACCAGTGCAAAAGTTTCTTCGAAGTCTATGCCCTCTCATTGTGTGAATCCTTGTGCTACAAGTCTTGCTTTATGTCAGACAGGTACCCCATCAGCATCCAGCTTGAGATGGAGGATGATCTTAGAGTTGACGAGTTTGGTGCTTGGTGGTACATCCACGATTTCCCAAGTTCCCATGGCCTCCAGTCCATCCAACTCCTTGCATATGGCTTCTTGCCATTGCTGTGCATCTTCACTGGCGAGTGCTTCTTTCATTGTTGGTGTGAGGTTTAGGGTGGTGGTGTTCGCTCCCCTGATCATGTCTTCAACTGCTATCTCTGATCGGTTGTCTTCAGTATCATTGATCGGTTGTTCAATGGGTGCATGTTGGAGTGAGTCTTGCATGTCAAACTCTTTGATTTCTGGTTCAGGTTCGAGGTTGTTTGCCTCTGGTTTGGCACTTTCTGCTTCGAGGCTCTCAAAACCGATTTGCAGTGGGCTTTGTACTTTGGGTCGATCATGCCAACCTTTGTGTTCATGGAATGTAACTGAATTGCTCCACTGGATGGACGGCATGTGGTCTGGAGTGAAGAATTTCCATCCCTTGTGCTCATCATCATAACCAATCATGATTCCTGGTATGGCTCTTGCACCATGCTTACCTGCATGATCTTTCTTTGGGAGGTGAACCCATGTGAGGCAGCCAAAGACACACAATTGTTTTGCCAAGCCATGAGCTGTCATGTGGTGAAAGTCTTCGTATGGAATTCTGTTGGCATTTGCTGATGGTGTCAAGTTAAGTACATGTCCGGCAGCCATGATGGCATAGGGCCATAGTCCTTTTGGCACCGATCTTTGGACAAGCATTGCATGCATCTTCTCTTGGAGTGATCTGATAGTGCACTCTGCTCTCCCATTCTGTATGCTGACATATGGGGTGGTTTTCTGCCACTTAAACCCTGCTTCCCGCTTCCATTCCTCTGCTGCTAAGCTTGACCATTCCATTCCATTATCACTGTGAATACACTTTAATGTGCAATCTGTTGCTATCTCTGCTGTTTTGGTCCATGCTTTTAGGGCGGGGAATGCTTCTGCTTTGCTTAGGAGCAGTTTCATGTACATGTAGGATGAGGCATTGTCAACAACTACCAGTGTGTGGTGATAATTTGGATGTCCTTGTAAGTCTGTCATTAAGTCGATGTGTATCAACTCTAGTGGCTCCTGTGCTCATTCCGTTTTGCTGCTTGCCATTCTTGTGCATGTTTGTTTTGCTTGACTGCAACAGTTGCAGTCTCTTGCATTGTGCTTGAGCTGTGTGTCCTTTCCCAAATAATGAGCCTGGATTTGCTTAGTTTTGTTTCTGCCAGGGTGGCCGAATTGTTCATGCCATAGTCTGCTTATCGTGTGGCTTGTGGGCCTTGCTGGTGTCATGTTGTCATCAATGCCCTCAAGGGGGTCATTGAACTGTGCTGCTAGGGAGTTGCTGTGAACTTCCCATCGTTTCTGGCATCGGTTGGTCTTGCTCTTAACCATGCTTCCGTCATGTTGGAGGATTGTGTCATGGGCCTGGATGCTCAAGAAGCAGGAGGGTCACGGGTTCATATGGAAGGAGCACAGGTATCGAAGATCTAGTCGAGATCAGTAGAGAGCATGGTCGTAGTGCAGTCTCCATGGAGACCATGGACTCCTACAGACTCACATGCAAAGGAGGGCCAAGCACAGCCACGAGGAGGACCAAGCTCAAGGAGCAGGCACAGCCACAAAGAGGACCAAGCTCAAGGAGCATGCAGATGGTTACCACTCAGGGGCTCGAGAGACAAGAGCCAAAGGAACTGTCACTGATCAAAGGAGAAGGAGCAGTGTCGAAGGAGTCGACACCAGGTCATGAGGAGGAGGAGCAGTGTCGAAGGAGTCGACACAGTTCAAGAGGCACAGAGGTGCCAAGCAGGAGAGGCCCCTGAGCAGTACTCGATGAAGAAGGTACTCTCTGGAGAGAGAGCAGGAGCAGCATCACTGGTGATGCTGAGAAGAGGTATATAACCATGCTTTCTCATCATCATAGGTCGAGTGGATCCTCATCCACTCTACTCACCATACAACTAGTCAATACTTAGAAACATAAGTACTCATTAGTTACAGTCAGCATAGCAGCAATCTATCAAGGTTGCTCCTCATTGTAGTGTGTGTGTTGTATCACCACTACCTGACATCCGAAGGCGCCCATAGCAGGTTAGTGGTCTGGATATAGATAGAACCAAAGGCAGTAGTCCACTGTGGTCCAGGGGTCACTTCAAGCATCAAGTCAACACACTGGACACTCGTGTTGATGCCACCAACCTTATCACCAACACCATCAACCTCCTTATCATCAACACTCACCAACCTTATCACCAATGACATCAACCTCATCATCATCAACACTCACACCAGACCTTGGTGTCATCATAACATTGATATTGATCGTGCTGAGCTACCCCTGAACGGAGTGTCCACAGAGGTCAGCCGAAACCTACAATAGTATATACAACGAATGCCACCTGCTGTCACTGCACAACTTGATAGTCACCGATACCGAGACAATAGCTGTCGCACAGTTTGATAGTCACCGAGTATCTCGACAGACTGACCTGGGTTTCAGGCGCGAGACCCCTGACATTAGAGTGGATTGTTCAAGCAGCTCCTCACGATCACCATGACAGACCCAGACCTCAACAATAAGCTCGATAGACTACTCACTCTATTGGAAGCACAGCTAGAGCTTACCAGACAGGGTCATCAAGAGGAACGATTACAACGAGCTCAACTGAGCAGGGAGGAGACAATGGACCTCTCTCACTCAGAAGACCAAGCAGGAGGAGGAGATGAGTCTATGATAGGAGACCCACATACTCCTACTCCGGCTCCACGACCAAGACGATCAGTCTCATTCAACCTGGATGAGCAGGAGGACATCAACTATGAGTAGTATGCTTCACCTAATGGGCCAAGATATGTCAAGACTAAGCTGGACCCCTACAGCAGGACCAGGACAGACCCTTACCCCCTGGACCAAGAGGAGGACTTTAGCATCATGGCAGAGCTTAACCAGTCAAAGCCCATCGCCACCCCCTTTCCAAAGTTCAATCCCCGAGACATGGAGATCTTCATTCTAGAAGCCAAAGCATGGTTTAAGTTCAACCAGGTGTATGAGCAGTCTAGGATGATCAATCACATGGGTGCTCAACTGGAAGGGACAGCAAGAGAGTGGTGGACCTCCAAGCTCCATATTGATAGAGCTAGAGAAGGAAGGTTGTTCAATGATTGGCACTACTTCACAGGGTGACTGTCAGAACAGTTCAACCCACGCAATGCTAGGATGGAGGCATACAACAAGCTGTTGGCTCTCAGACTCACAAGTGATGCTCCTGGTGCTGCCACATGTCATGTAGAGCGGTTCAGAGACTTGGAGGGACAGGTCAATCTAGATGACAACGAGCTAGTGATTGATCTCTTCAGAGGAAGTCTCACTCACAGCATACAGGAGAAGTTCGAGAGGAATCCACCTGGGAAGAGATGGGAGTGGTACCGAGAGGTTGAGGAGATTGATCAACAGAGGATGTTACTACAGCAGTCCTCGGCTAGACACTCACTTCCAAATTCCACGTCACCTCCACTAAGAACTGGGTCTCGGCCAAATCAAAGTTCGATCCCCATCTGTCAACCCACTCAACCTTATCCAGCTTGATCACCAGCACAAGCAACTACACAAGCAACTATACAAAACCTAAACTGACCAACTAACCGACCCCTTCCTCATCATCCCACCCAACCCTCGAAGCAAGGAAGCCCTGCTCCATCTGGTATCAACACCTGTCATGTATGCAAGGGTATCGGCCATTGGGCCAGAGACTGCCCCAGCAGGAGGGTAGACCCTCTTAGCTCTTGACCCATGGGACCAAAGGTTATGGTCACCACAGCAGACCCCTTCGAGGAGGCCACCGACTCAGGAGATGGCCACACAGGCAGCACTGAGACAGGTGACCCCGAGGCCATGGACCTCAGCTCATACCAGCAACCCATGGACCCCAATCACGAGGAGGAGCATGATGATGATGATGATGAGGGAAACGTCAGTGGGGTGATGCACTGATGGCATGCATTGCTCTACAAACGTCCTCGCCATCACTCTGTATATATCAAGATTGTCAAGTATGTTTCTCTACCAGTGGAGGCAAAGCAGTACTGGAGCTCTCTGGAATGGTTCAAGACCATCCTGCTCAGATACTAGCTGATACTGGTGCTGGTTTGTCCATAGTCTCAGATTCTTTCATTAGTAAGTACCAAATACCCACAAAACCCATAAAAACAAGATCGATCCATGGTGTCACCGGGCACCAACTCTCCATCAATAGTTCTGTGAGCATGCAGGTATCTATTGGTACACACAATCTGGGTGTGGTTGAAGCTTCAGTGGCCGACACTGCTGACTATGACCTCATCCTGGGGTTCACTGAGCTATGGAGGCTCAAACCCACCATACAATGGGATACAGGCCAGCTGGAGTTCAAGACTCAGGAGCAGGACCAACCCCCAAGGAGACCCCCTGAAGCAGCAAGAGCAGGGGACCTAATCATGAGGAGACCAACCCTTCATGGTAATGAGTTTGTCTCAGCAGAGTGCATACTACAAGCAGCTCTAGAAGATGGACCCATAGGGTTCATGCTGTTGGAGGAGCCACCATCATCACTCCTGGCCTTTGGTTTTGTACCTACAGGTGCAGACAAAGGAGTTGAGATGGAGGTGGAGGTAGACAAGGTGGTGATGGCTGCAGACATACCAAAGCCATACCAACACCTGTGAGATGTGTTTGATGAGGTGGAAGCAGACAAGCTGCCCCATCATACCGAGCATGATCTCCACCTCGAGTTGATAGAAGGAGGTAAGCCACCTCAAGGGCCCCTATACCTTAAGGGACCCAAGGAGATGTCCGAGTTGAGGAGGTACTTGGATGAGAACCTCGAGAAGGGGTTCATAAGACCATCAAAGAGCCCAGCATGATCACCAGTGCTCTTTGTACCAAAGAAGGATGGAGGTCTCAGACTCTGTGTGGACTACAGAGGTCTCAACGAGATCACTGTCAAGAACAGGGCACCATTGCCCCTCATTGAGGAGCAGCTGTTCTTACTCAGGATGGCAAGGATCTATACCAAGCTAGACCTTAGAGCAGCATACAACCTCATCCGGATTGCTAAAGGAGATGAATGGAAGACAGCTTTTGGCACTCAGTTGGGACTCTATGAGTACCTAGTGATGCCCTTTGGCCTAGCCAATGCTCCAGCTCACTTCCAGTCATTCATCAATGACATCTTCCAAGACATCATTGGGATATATGTGGTAGTATACCTAGATGACTTCCTGATCTTCAGTGACACTGAAGAAGCACATGTGAAGCATGTCACTGAGGTCCTCACTTGCTTAAGGAGCAACAGGCTCTTTGCTAAGCTGTCGAAGTGTGAGTTCCACACCAAGACAGTCGAGTTCCTGGGGTACATCATCAAGCCGACAGGCATAGAGATGGACCCAGAAAAGGTGCACACTGTCAAGGAGTGGCCAATGCCAGAGTCAATCCATGACATCCAGAGGTTCCTGGGTTTTGCCAACTTCTATCGAAGGTTCATAGCCCACTTTGCTCGCATAGCCAAGCCCTTGACATCACTGGTAAAGCCTATAGAACGGTTCAAGAAGTTCGAGCTACCAGAGGAGGCCCAACAGGCCTTCCACAAGCTCATCCAGGCATTCACATCAGCAGGAGTGCTTCAGCACTTCGACTACCACCTTCCAACAAGGTTGGAGACTGATGCAAGTGACTTTGCTATAGCAGGAGTACTCAAGCAGGAGCATGAAGGACGATGGCATCCAGTGGCTTTCTACTCTAGGAAGATGTCTTCTGCCGAGAAGAACTATGAAATCCATGACAAGGAGCTCCTAGCTGTGGTCGTCTGCCTTACTCAGTGGCAACACATGCTAGCTGGACTACCAAGCCAACTGGTCATCCTCACTGACCATGAAGCCCTCAAGTACTTCAAGTCACAGAGATGCATCACAGGTTGACAGGCTCGATGGGCCATACTACTAGCAGACTTCGACTTCATATTGCAGTATCGACCAGGAGACAAAGGTGGTGAACCCGATGCTCTCACCAGAAGGACAGACATGCAACCAGCTGGTGAAGAGCAGGATCACAATGTGAGGCAACTACTGCCTCCTCGAGTGTTCAAGGAGACAGCAGACCATGACTCGACCCTGGTGGCCCCTATGCTCTCGATGGAGTCCATAGCATCAAAAGGTCTCAAAGACCTGGTCAAGATCTTCCAGCCCTTAGACCAAGAGCTACAGGAGATACATAGGAAAAAGCCCTTCGAACTCAAGGACGACCTATGGTACAGTGGAGGAAGGTTGGTTATCCCCAAAGTAACCATGCCAGGGAGGACCAACAACCAACACTCAAGGAGTGCCAAAGAGGTAGATGGACAGTCCCTCTCTGTAGAGCATCTGCGATTCATGGTGATGACCCAATGCCATGATGGTATCACTGCTGGACATGTGGGAAGAGATGCTACCATCAAGGCAGCTCAACGACATTACTGGTGGCCAAACATGACAGCTTGGATTGCAGACTATGTAGCAAGTTGTCCTGTATGTGCTAGGTACAAAGCTCCTCGTCATCATCCATATGGTTTGCTACAGCCACTAGCAACCCCAGACAGGCCCTGGGGCTCCATATCCCTTGACTTCATTGAAGGACTACCACCATCGAAGAAGTATGACTCCAAGACCTATGACTCTATCTTAGTCATTGTCGACAGGTTAACCAAGTTTGCCATACTAGCTCCAACCCATAAGACAGTCATGGCCAAACAGACTGCAGTGTTGCTATATGGACACATGGTTAGACTCTTCGGAAACCCAGATCACATGGTCTCAGACCGAGGCAGGCAGTTCATATCAGGAGCATGGAAGGCATTTGCAGAGCAAATGGGTGTGAAGCACTCACTTAGCACGGCTTACCATCCTCAAACCGATGGTCAGACAGAGAGGGTCAATCAGATCATAGAGCAATACCTCAGGATGTACTGCAACTATGAGCAGAATGACTGGGCCAACCTGCTGGACACTGCAGCCTTTGTATACAACAACACGGTCCACAACAGCATTGGTGTCTCACCATTCTTTGCATGCTATGGATGGAACCCCAAAGCTCATCCTGACATCCCTCAACGACTAGGAGTCAATGATCCAGGTCGCTTCGAGTACCTCATGGATGGAAAGGAGCATTGCAAGTACCTCCAGGAGCAGATCAGAGAGGCACAACGTAGATCAGTAGACCAGTATAACAGGAAGCACAAGGACATCGAGTTTAAGGTGGGTGATATGGTCTATATCAACCGTTGAAACTGGAAGACACGGAGACCCACACCCAAGTTAGATACCCGGTTTGCAGGACCCTACCCAGTTCAGGAACGGGTAGGACGCTGAGCTTATCGAATCACATTGCCAGCAAACCTTAGGGTGCATGATGTGTTCCATGTCTCCATGCTCGAGCCAGCAAGAACAAGTTCTCTTCCTCAACATGCTGAACAGCCCACCATACCATCACTTCCAGATGAGGACCTCGACTTCGAAGTCGAAGCACTCATCGACAAGCGTTCACACAATGGGACTACAGAGTACAAGGTGTTGTGGAGAGGGTACTCAGAAGAAGCTGCTTCATGGGAACCAGTAGAGAACCTCCACTGTCCCGACCTCATCCAGGAGTATCAGGTGTCGGAGGGGGGACGAGTGAGTAGACAAAGTAGAGAAAGGAGGAGAGAACAGGAGGAGTAGAGAGAGGAAGAGAGAACAGGAGGAGTAGAGAGAGGAAGAGGAGAGAACAGGAGGAGTAGAGAGAGGAAGAGAGAACAGGAGGAGTAGAGAGAGGAAGAGGAAGGAGGATGACGTTGAGAGAAGGAGGAAGGATGATGTTGGCGATGTTGTCGAGGAGGAGGAGGAGGAGTCAGTATGAACCAGACCAGAGCATGCCTCGATGGAGCTCGGCTCTTAAGAGGGGGGTAGTGTCATGGGCCTGGATGCTCAAGAAGCAGGAGGGTCATGGGTTCATATGGAAGGAGCACAGGTATCGAAGATCTAGTCGAGATCAGTAGAGAGCATGGTCGTAGTGCAGTCTCCATGGAGACCATGGACTCCTACAGACTCACATGCAAAGGAGGGCCAAGCACAGCCACGAGGAGGACCAAGCTCAAGGAGCAGGCACAGCCACAAAGAGGACCAAGCTCAAGGAGCATGCAGATGGTTACCACTCAGGGGCTCGAGAGACAAGAGCCAAAGGAACTGTCACTGATCAAAGGAGAAGGAGCAGTGTCGAAGGAGTCGACACCAGGTCATGAGGAGGAGGAGCAGTGTCGAAGGAGTCGACACAGTTCAAGAGGCACAGAGGTGCCAAGCAGGAGAGGCCCCTGAGCAGTACTCGATGAAGAAGGTACTCTCTGGAGAGAGAGCAGGAGCAGCATCACTGGTGATGCTGAGAAGAGGTATATAACCATGCTTTCTCATCATCATAGGTCGAGTGGATCCTCATCCACTCTACTCACCATACAACTAGTCAATACTTAGAAACATAAGTACTCATTAGTTACAGTCAGCATAGCAGCAATCTATCAAGGTTGCTCCTCATTGTAGTGTGTGTGTTGTATCACCACTACCTGACATCCGATGGCGCCCATAGCAGGTTAGCAGTCCGGATATAGATAGAACTGAAGGCAGTAGTCCACTGTGGTCTGGGGGTCACTTCAAGCATCAAGTCAACACACTGGACACTCGTGTTGACGCCACCAACCTTATCACCAACACCATCAACCTCCTTATCATCAACACTCACCAACCTTATCACCAATGACATCAACCTCATCATCATCAACACTCACACCAGACCTTGGTGTCATCATAACCAAAGCATTGATATTGATCCTGCTGAGCTACCCCTGAACGGAGTGTCCACAGAGGTCAGCCGAAACCTACGATAGTATATACAACAAATGCCACCTGCTGTCACTGCACAACTTGATAGTCACCGATACCGAGACAATAGCTGTCGCACAGTTTGATAGTCACCGAGTATCTCGACAGACCAACCTGGGTTTCAGGCGCGAGACCCCTGACAGATTGTAGCTCCAGATTCTTCAAATATCACTCGTGCACCATCTTCAGTTAATGCTGGGACAGACAATAGATTCTTGCTAAGGTTGGGAATGTAAAGTACATCTGTGAGGGGTATTTTGACATTTCCAACTTGCAAGGTCGCATCTCCTATTGCTTGTACTCGCAACCATTCATGTGTGGTGGTATCTATGGATCCTTTCTTTGGTGTCAGAGCAATGAGCTTATCCTCATCACATACCATGTGATGTGTAGCTCCAGAGTTGAGGATCCATGTACTGCCTTGATTACAGTTGCCAGTGTTGCTTATGAAAAGGGTGCACCCAAATTCCTATCCCTGCTGAGTAGAAGTTCGCTCCTGGTTGCTGATGCAATTGATTGCAATGTGCCCAGGTTGCCTGCATTTGTAACACTTAGCCAGCTCATTAGGGTTTGTGGGATCATGTCTGCCCCTGTTGTAGCCTTCTTGGTTTAGGATTTGGCTAGGTCCGCTGGCTTGGTTGGTTATATTCTTGTTGCCAGCGAGTCTGGTTGTGGCTCGGATATGGCCTGAGAGTTTGGCTTCTTGATGTTTCTTGGCAAGTGCATGGTAGGCATATTCATAGCTACAGCCCGGCTGTGCAGCTTTGAGGGAGTCTACTGTCTGAGTGTAGAGCCAGTCATCTTTGACACAGCAGTACAAGGTGGACTTCTTGAGCTTTTCATCCATGTGACTGCCCAGCCTCACAGTGTCATTCCAAATTTGATCTAGTTCCTTTCCAAGGTTGACAACATTTCAGTGTACTAGCTTGATCTCATGCACTCAGTCATGAATTGCAGACAGTTTGACTTTGTCATTGATTGTGAGCACTGCTTTGAGTTTCTTATACAGTGTGGAGCCAAGTTGTTCCTCTTTGCCTTGTTCTCGAATGGTGTATGTATGAATACTGCTCTCAGGACTGTGGTTGCATGACGACAGGATGAGGCCTAACAGATGACTGTTTAGTTCTTCATCATATTCCATTTGGTTGCTAGATATTTCCCTGGTGAGGATTTGCTTTGTGTTCTTGATGGGCCATATGCAGTCCATAAACATGGGCTCCCAGATGGCCCAGTTGTTCTCGTTGAGCTTGACAATCTGCGATACAATGCTGAGTACTGACTTAGGAATCTTTTCGACTTGGCTGGTATTTGGTTGGAGATTCATCATAGAGAAGGCACACTCCAAGATTTGGTCTTCATTCCAGTCAGTGTGCACCTCTCTGATCATTTGCATGGTGTGTTCGAGTAGAGCTATGCTGTCTACTCTGGGTGGCATCTTGATGGCAAAGTGCCTTGAAGCTGCCAAGCTTCAGACTCTTAATCAGTTGAGAATTTTGGTGCTTAGTTACTAATGAGTCATTTTTGAGTGCTATTTACATAAGCATATATATACATGTGTACTTAGTGGTTACCTTCAGCCTGTGCCCATCTATGACTAGTTCACCCCTCACATTGCTCCTAAGTTGTCATGGTAATGCCTATGCATCCCACATGCATAGCCACCAATGTGTGGTTTTGTATCATCAATGGTTATTTGCCCTCCGCAGACCCTGTAGGCTCTGTTCAGTTCCGACGCATCTCCAACTATAGTTACGTTTCCCTCAACTGTCGGCATTCCAATGGGATTCACAGGGTCCATGGAGCACAAGTGAGACATTGATGAAGCAAAGCCATGCATAGACTGTATGCATGTGGGATGCATAAGCATTGCCATAGCAACACTCAGGAGTAGTGCAGGAGGTGACAACTCAGGAGTGATATGAGAAGTGGTTCATCACAGTCCAGTATGCCTTGGAGGCAATGATTAGGTATATATATGCTCACATACATAGCATCCAATGATAGAAATGATAAGCATTATCTAGAAGTCATATGCCTGTGTACAAGAGCTTGCTAGTAGCTCAGGACAAGCATACTGTACATTGTAATCTTCAATTGATTAAGAGTCTGAAGCTCTATCAACTGAGCTGAGGAATCCACCAACAAACTATGGTAGAAGAAACCAAAACCCAAACCAGCACAAGCAGGGCCAAAGGAGGAAGAAAGGGTAAAGCCACCCAATCACAAGTCATCGATAACAAGGCCACCAACAAGACAAAAACCAAGGTGCCTGACAATGATGCCAATGAAGAAACTGACTCCAATTCAGACCTCAACAATGGTGGCAAGCAATACAACTTCTGCACCTTGGTGAAACTCCTTGAGCCAGTGCCCAAGCTTACATCACACAACTACTACAGTTGGAATGCCCACATCAAGTCTTTTTTCCAATGTGTTCCTCATGCTATGAAACACCTCTATGGAGTATATATGACAAGAAGCATCCCAAATGGAATCACACATTTGATGACACCTTGACCAATGCACTACATGGCACCATTGATACCACTGGGGAATACAATGTCAACTATTTGATCCTCGACATCATCAGGGAGCATCATGTCAGGGGTCTCGCGCCTGAAACCTGATATCTGTAGTAGAAATGCATCTATTACAGATCCTGTCAAGATATGTGGTAAAATGCTGTGTATTATTATTCTTGTCAAGATCTGTTGTAGAAGGCCTCTATGACTTTTCTTGCTCGAATGTGTGATAGATTGATTGCTATTGCAGGTTTCGACTGACTGCTGTGGACACTCTGTCCAGAGGTAGCTTGCCATGATCAATAACTACTATGAACTGATATTAACACCAAGGTCTGGTGTGCTTGTGATTGCTGTTGTCAACACAAGTGTCCAGTGTGTTGACTGAGTGCTTGAGTGATCCCCGGACCGCAGTGGACAACTGCCTTCGGTTCTATCGTGTCACAGGATCAGCGGATCAGCATATGAAGTGTGCGCCAAATTGATCTGTGGCAATCATCAGGAATCGACAATCTAATCGGGTTGGTAGTGCATATGACTTGCGAGATCAACTGCACTCCAGGATCCTGGTTAATCTCACAAGGATTGATTGAAATCAGCCTGATCAGCATGTCTCAGCAAGTTGGCTGTCATGAGCAAGCATTGGGAGATTCAGGAAGGAGGATACTGGCATTAGGAGGAGAAGCGCATGGTAATCACCACATGCAGGAGTGGGGACTGAGCTCAGCATCACATGGATGGTTACCACTCAAGGGGTATGTGCATACAGCCACATAGGACCAAGCACAGGGGCGACCACATGATCAAGGGGCTTGGCGATAGGGCCTGACATGTGGTTAAAGGATTCACAAGATAAGGTCAAGAAGATGGTCACCAGTGAAGAGAGAAGGAGCTGTGTCAAGAAGACCAGGGATTGTCTACAAGGAGGAGGAGCTGTATCGAAGGGGTCTTCACACATCACCAGGCAAAGAAGGGTTTGGAGGCAAAGGGGCAGTATCACACAAACCAATATGCTGTGTGAGCAGTAGAGGCGCAGCATCAAAGGGAGTGACACCAGCAGGAGAGAGAGTGTTGAGAGGAGGTGAAGGCCTCTCAAAAGGAGTAGGAAAGGTGTCGCAGGCGACACCAAGCGAATGCATAAATACTCTCATTCTACTATAGCATACGAGTGGATCCTTATCCACTCTACTCTATACTTTACATATGTAAGCGGTCGCGCGCCAGAGACTAGTTTTGGGTGTTATTTGATTGGTATAGATGGGATTGATTGAGTAAGATCTACTTGGTATGTTTTGACTAAACATAACCAAATGTCTCTGACTGGTAAGTCTCAGCTGACTGCCTTGAACACTCCATTCAGAGGTTGCACAGCATGTATGCTGTTCATTGGGGAGTGAGTGATACACCCTCTCCTACAGTATGAGTGTTTGTAGTACTGTTGATAATGCTCTTGGATGTCATCTGGACTGTGATATGCTAATTGCCTACAGAGGATGGGAGTTACTGGACTGCAGGTGTGAGTCACTGCCTACAATAACTGACTGGACTGCAGACATCGAGCAACACCACCTACAGTAAGGGACTGGACTGCAAGTGTTGAAGAACACTGCCTACAGTAGAAGAACTGGACCACAAGTGTTTGGAGAACACTGCCTACAGTTGACACCTAATGGTGATATGACACACATGTTTGAGGGTTGTTGCAAAAGCACTGCTATTGAAATGATATGTAACTAAGAGTCAAGTAAAGAGTAAAGTATAAAGTAAGTAGAGTGGATGAGGATCCACTTGTATGCTATGGTAGAATGAGAGTATTTATGCATTTGATTGGTGTCACCCACAACACCTATCCTGCTCCTCCTGAGGGGCCTTCATCTCCTTTTTGACACTATCTCCCCTGCTGGCATCAACCCCTATTGATGCTGCACCTCTACCATTTGCACAGCATAATGGTTGTGTGACACTGCCCCTTTGCCTTCATGCCCTCTTTCTGCCTGATGATGTGTGAGAACCCCTTCAACACAGCTCCTCCTCTTCATTTAACCAATCTCCATTCTTCTTGACACAGCTCCTTCTCTCTTCACCAGTGACCACCTTCTCGACCTTATCTTGTGAATCCCTTTAGCCACTTGTTGGGCCTCATGACCAAGCCCCTTGGTCATGTGGTTGCCCCTGTGCTTGGGCCTGTGTGGCTATATGCACATACCCCTTGAGTGGTAACCATCCATGTGATGCTGAGCTCAGTCCCCACTCCTGCATGTGGTTATCCCCATGTGCTTCTCCTCCTAATGCCAGTATCCTCCTTCCTGAATCTCCCAATGCTTGCTTGTGACAGCCAACTTGCTGAGACATGCTGATCAGACTGATCCCAATTGATCCTTGTGAGATTAACCTGGACCCCAGAGTTTGGTTGGTCTCATAAATCATATGTGCTACCAACCTGATTAGCTTTGTTGATTCCTGATGATTTGACACCAATCAATTTGGTGCACCCTTCATATGTTGATCTGCTGACCCTGTGACATTACCATAATTGCTGCTGGTCAATTTGGTGCACCCCTTCATATGCTGACCCGCTGACCCTGTGACAACATACTCTTTACTTGACTCATAGTTATGTATCATTGCAATAGCAAAGCTTTGCAATGACACCTCAAACGTGTGTGTTGTATCACCATTAGGCATCAACTGTAGGTGGTGTTCCTCAACACCTGCAGTCCAGTTCCTTACTGTAGGTGGTGTTGCTCAACATCTGCAGTCCAGTCAGTTATTGTAGGCAGTGTCCAACACCTGTGGTCCAGTAACTCCTGTCCTCTGTAGGCAATAGGCATATCACAGTCCAGATGACATTAGAGAGCATTAGCAACAGTACTATGAACACTTGTACTGTAAAGGAGAAGTGTATTACTCTCTCTCCAGAGAATAATGGATGTGCCATGCAACCTCTGAACAGAGTGTTCAAGGTGGTCAGCCAAGACCTACCAGTACAAAGCTGTCTGGTTACTTTTAGTTGAAACATACTGAATAGATCTTACTTAATTGATCTCACCGAAACCAATCGGAAACACCCAACCTGGTTTCAGGCATGTGACCGCTTACACTACTCAAGATGGCTAAGAATCGCGAGCAAGGGCTTTTAGAGCTCCAAGGCAACACATGGCAAGAAAATGCAATGATCACATCAACATCATTATTTGAAGATGTTGATGAAGATTTCAAGCAGGTTGAGGGCAAAGCCAAGATATCCAAACAACAACTATGGCATGAGCATCTAGGGCCTTCATGCTGAGACAAGACAAGAGCCATCATCAACCATTTAAAGGGCAACAATGTAGTAGACTTGAACCCAGATACTGCTCTGATATGTGAGCAGTGCATCTGTTCCAAGAGTATGGCAGCCTGAATGGGGCAAGGCAGTGGAGAGAGGTCCATTTCTCTGCTTGACCTCATCCACATCAACTTGATAGTCAATTCATCACACACAACAGAATACATGTGCACATTGGTACTGGTTGATGACCACAGCAAGTATGTGTATGTGCAGCCTTTGCTACAAAAGAGCCACACATTTCCCAAGCTCAAGACAATAGTGTTGTATCTCAAAACACAGACAAGAAAGAGCTTAAAAGCAATACAATCTGATCAAGGTACTGAATGGAGAAGCAATGATGCCCTTGAATGGACACACAATAAGGGTATAGATTGGCAAATAACAGTGGGATTCACTAGCAAACAGAATGGACATGTGGAGAGGATGAATAGGAGTCTGGGTGAGAAGATGCAAACACTGCTCATGCAGAGGAGGCTGCCAAAGAGATTCTGGCCTTATGTGATCTGGGCTGCAGCAATCAAAATGAATCTCACCCCAAGTGTCAACAACAAGTTCCCATATCAAGCCATGTTTGGGAAGTTGCCAGAGTGGCTCATGAAGCTCTTATGCATGTCTGGATGCCTAGCATGGGTAAACATCCCAAAGGTTAAAAGAGACAATAAGAAGCTAGACCAACAGGCCATAGCATCTATATTCCTGGGATACAGTCTGGAGAGGAGAGGATGGCTCTTCTACAGCCCAGACTACAGTCTTAACATATTCTGGAGCAACTCAGTGAGATTTATGGAGTCTAAATGCTGGTCCAATAGAACAGAGTGGCAACTGGTAAGCATGCAGCTGCCACCAGCACTAGCAGATGAAGAAGACCTCAATGACCAAGGGTACACAGATGAGAACCTCTTTGATGAAAGAGAAGAAGAGCCACTAGACAAATACATGGATATGGAGACAGTTGTTGGAATGGATGAGGAAGAGACCTTAGGTGAGGGTGTGGTGAAGATGATTGAGTACAGAGCCAACACTGAAACATGGGCTGACAGTACCCATTTTGGACTTATGGCAGCAAATGATAGTAAAAGACAGAACCTGGATCTGACTGTCAGCAAGGCACTGTCTGGAGAGGATAGGAAACACTGGGAGGAGGTGATGTGCAAGGAGCTGGATGGGCTGAAAGCCATGGGCACATGGGAGATTGCCAACCTTCCTCAGGGCATGAATGCTGTTGACACACAATGGGTTCTGAAGATCAAGACAGATGTGAATCTAATCCCCACAAAGTTCAAGGCAAGGCTAGTAGCACAAGGCTTCACCCAAAGGGAAGGCATTGACTACACAGAGGTGTTTGCACCCTGTGGCACCCATTCAATCCATTTGAGGAGTCCTAGCTATAGCAACTGTGCAAGACTGGGAAGTGGATTGCATTGACATCAAGCAAGCATATCTAAATTCAACATTGCACCATGATGTTTACCTGAAGCCACTGGTCAGAACAAAGGTCCCCCCTGGAAAGGCCTTAAAGCTGGTGAATGGACTGTATGGACTAAAGCAATCAGGCCAAGAATGGAACATAGAGCTGGATTCACACCTGCAAGAGATAGGTTTCCATTGCATGCCAAATGTGCCATGCCTATACTCAAGAGGAACTGGCAGCAGCATGACTGTCATCACAGCATATGTGGATGACATGCTCATTGCATCACCCAGTTGTGAGGAAGTGGATTGCACCAAGAAACAAATAATGGCTAAATGGGGGACAGAGGATAATGGACCAGTGAAGGAGTTCTTAGGTGTTAGGATCAACTGAGACAGGGCACAGAAAAGGAAGTCACTCAACTTGACAGCCTACATTAAAGTGATGGTTAGCAAATGGCTACAAATGACTGATCAGAAGTCCTGGGTACCAATGCAGGGAGTAACAAGTATTGCAGGGGACAACAAGTGTGATCCACCACAAGTGAAGTGATGCCAAGAGCTGGTGGGACAGCTGTTATGGATATCAAACACTGTGTGACCCAACATATCATTTGCCATAGGAACACTGGCAAGGTATATGTCAAGCCTGACCAATAGTGCATGGAAAGCAGCCATCCACATGGTGAAATACCTCAACCAAGCCAGTGAGTACAAACTACTCTTTGGGGACAGGTCAAGGGAGCATTCAAGACAGCCAATTGTTACATACACTGATGCAAACTGGGCCTTGGACCTGACAAACAGACATAGAAGCATGTCAGGAGCAGTGATGTATGTATATGGGTGCCCAGTTAGCTGGAGATCACACATTCAAAAGTGTGTGGTGTTGTTGGCAGTGGAAGCCAAGTTTGTTGCTGCCTCAGAGGTGGTGAGAGAGGCACTGTTCTTTTTGTACCTCCTCAAGAATCTGGAAGTCAAAGCCACTCACCCAGTATTGTGCACAGGCAGCCAAGGATGCATCCAGGTGAGTAAAGATCCTGCCAAGCACTGGAAACTGAAACACATAGACACCAGGTATCACTTCATCAGAGATCACCTTCAGGAGGGAGAGATAGCAATCAAATTTGTTGGGACAGCTGACAATGTTGCAGATATCCTAATGAAACCATTGAAGGAATTGGCCACCTCCTGGCTAGCTCAGTTGATAGGGTTGGCAATGCTGTCAAAGGGGGGAGTTGAAGATGTGCCAGCATTCCAATGGGATTCACAGGGTCTGCAGAGCACAAGCGAGACATTGATGAAGCGAAGCTGTGCATAGACTGTATGCATGTGGGATGCATAAGCATTGCCAGAGCAACATGCAGGAGTAGTACAGGAGGCAACAACTCAGGAGTGATATGAGGAGTGGCTCATCACAGACCAGCATGTCTTGGAGGCAATGATTAGGTATATATATGCTCACATACATAGCATCCAATGATAGAAATGATAAGCATTATCTAGAAGTCATATGCCTGTGTACAAGAGCTTGCTAGTAGCTCAGGACAAGAGTACTGTATGTCGTAATCTTCAATTGGTACTGTGCTCTGACTATCGCCAATCGTTGATCATCGAACCTCCTCACTCTTTATCACATATGCGCGTCAACCAACACTTACCGATTTTATGCAGCCAACGATTACACGCGTCACTCTGCGCCGCTTAGTAAACTGAGCTTCCTCTATGTCCCTCAACATCATTGCTCACGCAGAATCAAGGCCATATAGGTGCGCGCTACACTGATTACGCTGGATGATCCAGTCAGATGGAGAAGAGTTGCGATGCTACGTGTATTGAGCTGTGTAAAAGTACAAATGAAGAGTTCGAGAAATGCAGGTGCAAAGATGCGAGGGTATCGATAGAAAGATGCAGCAGTAAGACGTTACAATTCAGACGAGGTTGCGACGAGGCTGCGCAGACGGCTGCTGAGGCTAAGGATGGATCAGACAAAGACCTCCCAAGCCGAATACTTGCTGCCAGGCTCTTTGGTGCATCGCTGTCTACAGCCTTGAACGGGACAGGTGAATCGCTTGGGCTTCTTTGGCTTCTTGGGTGTGACCTCTTTCGCCGTAGCAGGGGCAGAAGCTGTTGGTCGATTGCGTGAGGATGTTCTGGAAGCCTTTGCCGGTGGCTCATCCTCTGGTAATTCAACAGCCTTCGCCTTGCCTTTACCCTTGCCTGAAGTCCTTTCGGCGACAACAGCATCTGGACCCAGCGGTGGAGCGATTCCACTGAGCTTGTCAACACACCGCCCGTCAATCACATGTCCACACGGCAACACCCAAATCCTCTCATCTCCGCTGGCGCCTGTCACAAGTGCATGGCGACAGCATGGGCAAATTGGTGTAGTATCCGGCAAAGGTCCCGTCACAACAGCCTTGTCGTCAAAGTAGGTATCTAGGTCGACCGGCGGCTCAATGATGTTGTGTGTGAAGCCAGATTCAACCTCATATGGATGAGTCCACTTTGGATCGTAATCTTGCGGAACTTTGCGTTCTGGACCCTGCTGATGACCGGCACCTGCGTTGCTTTGTAGTCCGCGTATCAAGTTGCCTATCACTTCCATGCTGTATGATGGACCAAAACCAAATCCTGCCATGCCTCCGAAAGAGAACTCCCCACTGAGGCGCGGCATGAAACCCCCATCTGACCTAGTAGGCGGGATAGCCCCACCGCCCCTCCTAGCTGCTGTTGCACTGGCAGATGGTAAAGCAGCACGATGTTGCGGTAAGAGCGGGTGCTGCGCTGCTGAAGAAGAACCGAGCATACCGATGCTTTGCGGGATGCGCGAACCTGACCCATGAGGGCCTCGGCCGATGCTATCGTGGAATCGAAGCGACGAGCCGGCGGAAGCTGATGAAGGACGAGTAGAAGAAGCTGCAGGAGAATTCAAGGGTACAGAGCGTTGAAGATGATATGTGCGTCTAATCGGCTCGGACTGTCCGGTGATGGTGAAGCTCACGTCTTCTTCATCCTCGTCATCGCTCCCAACTACGATGGGGTCAACAGCGGGCCTCGCTGCACGTTGAGCGCTTGATGATGAGGCGGTGTCTCTGCCAAAGCTATCGGAGGGATATGGATGCGCATGCGATCCGAAAGACCATTCAAGGATATGGGTGCCGGGTCCGGGCGCGGCTCCAAAGCTAGAGAACCAGTGTCTCGTGTTAGCTGGAGGTGATTCCTCGGTAAGGTCGATAACAGCACCTTGTGACCGACTCATAGTGTACAGCTGGTAAGGACGAGAAGGAAGACGTAGCGGTGATTCTGGTGGTGGTGGCGGAGGTGTGATAAGGTTCAGTTGATGCGGAAAGGTGATTTCCGAGCCGTAAGTTTGATGGATTCCCCGCTTTAGGCTGTATTGCAGTTGCGAATTGTGACCTGGCCAGAAGCTTGCTTGCTTGCTTGCTTGCTTGCTTGCTTGCTGATCGATGGAAGCTCCTAGAGGCTTGCTATCGGATGAGTTGCGAAAGATGAGTCGTGAGGAAGGACGAAAGTGATGATAGAGAGTGACTTCATTTCCGTGATGCTAGCTGGTCAAATCGGTCACCGAAGCGGTTCTTGCTTTTCCGCAAATCCCACGCTGTCTGTCCCTGTAGCGAGCCGTGAGCCGAATTCGCTTGCTAGGAAGATATTGATGAGTAGGTCTGGGAGCCTTGAAAGTTGACGTGAGAAAGAGCGGATGATGATAGCTTCGAATGTTGATGTTGTTTAGTGTATAGGCTTCAAGGTTTGTAACCCTTTGAGTGGTGGCGCGCTCGGAAAATCTCCAAGCAATTAAGTTAATGCTGCGAGGCGCAGCTCAGTTTGACTTTAGAAAGCGGGTTCGAGAGAGTGGGGTTTCAGTTTTTTTTTTGCCCTCGAAAACTAGAGTCTTCGAATAGTGAAAAAAGGCCAGAAAATTGATGCCCCCAAATGTAAGCTGTGTTTTTAGAGGGTTAATTTTCAAAGCCAACAAAGGGAGGGTAGTGTCAGCTGAAAAATGAAGCAGTTCCAAAATCCGAACCACCTGTTCCAGAATCCAAACCACCTTGTAGCTCCACCATCTTTGACACTCTCATTGCACAATCAAAGTAGATACAGTCATTATTGACACTGTGGGTTCATGCAAAACAAGCTGTGCAGGAAAAGTGGAGGCATTTGCAGGAGTACATCATGTGCAACATTACATGCAACATCATGTGAGTGAAGACTCAGGTCCAATTCTGAAAACTCTGCTGCAACTGTCCAGCTGAAGCAGTGTTTTCAAAAACTAGAGTATTTTCCAAAATGGCAGAGCTTACATAAATAATGAATATTCAACACAAGTGAAAACTCAAAAACAACTTGAGTTTCCAAAAAAAAAAAAAAAAAAAAACTGAAACCTCCTATTCTTGCTGAAATCTGTAGTAGAAGCCTCCTGTCATGGGGCCGGATGCACAGGAAGCAGGAAGAACCGAAGTCATATGAAGAGGAGCACAGGAATTGCAGGATTGGGCAAAGCGAGGGTTTAAGGCAGACTTCATCAAGATCTGCAGTAGAGAGGCTTTATGACAGATCTTGTCCAAATCAGTACAAGCAGGATCTTACAGCAAAGCCCAGATCAACCAGAAGCACCCAATTTGGTTTCAGGCACATGACCGCTTACATGGGAGAGGCCCCTATTGGTAATGAAGCAGCATGAGGACTTTCCATCTGCAAGGAGCAAGGGAAGCAGTGCTAATGAGCGGTATCGTAAGACAGGCAGGACTGTCGGGAGGGAGAGTCAAGAGGAGGAGGAGCAGTGTAGGAGGAGACCACATAGGGTAAGAGCAGTGCCGCCGGTGACACTGCGAGGACATCTATATAACACACACTTACTCTTCATCATAGTGGTTTAGTGGAGCTCCATCCACTCTACACCTTACATTACTAGCTAGAACTTCACAATAAGTATACTTAGTAGATTTGTCACCAGTAGCAATTGCAGAGCATTGCTATTATCATAGTGTGTGTGTTGTATCACCACTTGGTGCCATCCAAAGGCAGTTCATTCTGCAGTCCAGATATTGATCAACACCAAAGGTGGTTCATACTGCAGTCTGGCTCTCCCAATCATTAGAACCAAAGGCAGTAGTCCACTGCAGTCCAAGGGTCATTCAGTCACTCATTGACACACTGGACACTTGTGTCAAATCCATCACATTAGCATCAGACCTTGGTGCCACCTTATCTCAAGGTATCTATAGGATATTGATTGTGCAGAGCTACCTCTGGACATAGTGTCCCCAGTGGTCAGTCGAAACTTGCAATAACCTTCAAGCTACCACATATTCGAGTGAGAAAAGTCATCCAAAAGTCCTGGATACTGATGTTGAGCATAACGGCAATTGCAGAAAGTGATGCATGTGACTTGAAGTGGGTGAAGCAATATCAGGAGCTGGTGGGACAACTGCTCTGGGTGTCCAATATGGTATGACCCCATATCTCATTTGCTGTAGGAATCCTGGCCTGCTACATGTCAACCCCAGCTATTGGAGCATGGAGTGCAGCAATACACTTGTTAAAGTACCTCAACCAAACAAACGAATATCAACTACAATTGGGAGGAGATATGACCAAACACACAAACCAACCGGTGGTTACATATACCAAAGCAAACTGGTTGTTGTCATAGGAGCCGGATATGCAGGAGGCAGGAAGAAGTTGAAGTCATATGAAGGAGCGCAGAAATCGCAGGATCAGGCTAAATGAGAGCTTAAGGAAGAGTTTGCTGAGATCAGCAGTAGAAATGATCCTATGGCATATCTCATCAGGATCTGTGGGAATGATGTCATTACTACAGAGTTCAGTGGAAATCACAATATCATGCTGGGTACTGCAGATCTCACAAGGATTGATCAGAGAGGCACCCCATCACCAATACAGTGAAGAAGAGGTCACTGGACAAGGGGGGGACACCATCAGATGAGGCAGGGGCACCACAGGGATGAAGCTGGCAGAAGGAGGTAGGCACTGAATACAAAGAAAGGATGAAAGGGTGTGAGTCACCACCCAGATGAGGTGGGACTGGCCCCTGATGAAGATGAAGCAGCCAGAGGCCACCCATCCAGAGGAGGCAAGTGTCAGGGGTCTCGCGCCTGAAACCCAGGTCGGTCTGTCGAGATACTTGGTGACTATCAAACTGTGTGACAGCTATTGTCTCAGTATCTGTCTCGATGAGCTAGTCAGTCAACAACTATCAAGTTGCGCAGTGACAGCAGGTGGTGTTCGTTGTATATACTATTGTAGGTTTTGGCTGACCTCTGTGGACACTCTGTTCAGGGGTAGCTCGGCACAATCAATATCAATGCATAGGTTATGATGACACCAAGGTCTGGTGTGAGTGTTGTTGATGATGAGGTTGATGGTGTTGGTGTTAAGGTTGGTGGTGTCAACACAAGTGTCCAGTGTGTTGACTGATGCTTGAGGTGATCCCTGGACTGCAGTGGACTACTGCCTTCAGTTCTATCTATATCTGGACCACTAACCTGCTATGGGGCGCCTTCAGATGTCAGGTAGTGGTGATACTACACACACACTACGATGAGGAGCAACCTTGATAGATTGCTGCTATGCTGACTGAAACTAATGAGTACTTATGTTTCTAAAGTATTGACTAGTTGTATGGTGAGTAGAGTGGATGAGGATCCACTTGACCTATGATGATGAGAAAGCATGGTTATATACCTCTTCACAGTATCGCCAGTGATGCTGCTCCTGCTCTCTCTCCAGAGAGTACCTTCTTCATCGAGTACTGCTCAGGGGCCTCTCCTGCTTGGCACCCCTGTGCCTCTTGAGTGGTGTTGACTCCTTCGACACTGCTCCTCCTCCTCATGACCTGGTGTCGACTCCTTTGACACTGCTCCTCTTCCTCAGGACCTGCCTGCTAGTGTCCTATACACTGCTCCTTCTCCTTTGACTGGTGACAGTTCCTTTGACTCTTGTCTCTCGAGCCCCTGAGTGGTAACCATCTGCATGCTCCTTGAGCTTGGTCCTCTTTGTGGCTGTGCCTGCTCCTTGAGCTTGGTCCTCCTCGTGGCTGTGCCTGGCCCTCCTTGCATATGGCTCGGTCCTCCTTTGCATGTGAGTCCATAGAAGTCCATGGTCTCCATGGAGACTGCACTACGACCATGCTCTCTACTGGTATCGACTAGATCTTCGATACCTGTGCTCCTTCCATATGAACCAGTGACCCTCCTGCTTCTTGAGCATCCAGGCCCATGACAGCAAGGAGGTGTTGCCAACGAGTGGCAACACAAGGTGGATGGGGAGTATAGGAGGGACGAGGAGGATGAGCAGTGTCACAGGCGACATTGCAAGAAAGGTATATAACCATGTTCTCTGTCCTAGCAAGAGAGTGGATCGCCATCCACTCTACACCATACACTACTAGTTATAGCTTTACACATAAGTATACATTAGTATCCAGTCAGCATGTTGCAATCTCAATAAGATTGCATCCATCATAGCATGTGTGTTGTATCACCGCTCACTGACATCTGAAGGCAGTTCATAGAAACCTGTGGTCCGGATAATGATAGAACTGAAGGCAGTTGTCCACTGTGGTCTGGGGGATCACCTCAAGCATTCAGTTGACACACTGGACACTTGTGTCAGTGCTACCAGTCCTCTCACTCACACCAGACCTTTGGTGTCAGGCAATACATTCAAGTTATTGATCATGCCAAGCTACCTCTGGACAGAGTGCACACAGCAGTTAGTCAAAACCTGCAATAGCAAAGCCATTACTGCATCTTCGAGCAAGAAAAGTGATAGTGACATCTCTACTACATATCTCACCAAGAATCATAATACCACAAGTGCTGTCACATATCTTGATGGAATTCATAATAGATGTGGTTCTATTACAGATATCAGGTTTTGGGCATGTGACCTCTGACAGTTGTCAGATCCCACAAATGGGTGTAGGAGCACATCCAGCACAGTTACATATGTTTATGGATGTACAGTAAGCTGGAAGTCACACATCCAAAAGTGCATAGCACTGTCAGCAGTGGAAGCAGAGTTTATTGCCACATCGGAGGCCACATGAGAGGCTCTCTTCTTCTCATACTTGCTCAGGGACTTAGGAGTGCCAAATGTCAAGCCAGTACTTCATACAGATAGTCAAGGATGCATACAGGTGAGCAAAGACCCAGCAAAACATTGGAAACTGAAACATATCAACACCAGATACTATTTTGTTAGGGATCATGTACAAGATGGGGACATAGCAATAGAGTAAATAAGGACAGCCAAGAACATGGTGGACATGCTAACAAAGCCACTAAAAGGACTAGATACATCATGACTAGTGAACTTAATAGGCCTGGGAACACTGTTGAGGGGGGGGGAGTTAAAGATGCAACAGAATTACCAGGAGTTTAACTGACATGTGAGAAAGCCAAGTTGCCAAGAGACTGAGGGACATGCATACATGATCAATGTGCAGTGACCAATCAGGAAATGTCTATTGGGGACAACACCAAGGCACAAGGAAGACAACACTGAGGCACCACATGATACATGCAGTTAGTAGTGTGACAATAGGGCTTCTCATGGGTGGAACAAAGGTATATACATGAGCAATCCTGTAGCCATAGTTCATAAAATCTTAAGCATTGCATCTACCATACACCTGTGTGAAAGGAGCTAGAACGTAGCCTGGACAAAGTGGTGCCTTGCATAACTTCAACTGAGAGAGATGACGTTAAGCCCGAAAACAAGGAACCTGTTAGACCGACACACAGCCGCAAACACGTACGAGTCAAGAAGGATCACGGTTTTTGCAGTGTCGAACAAACTGCGGTTGGCAGCGCATTTTTCCAGAAAATTCAGGTAGGAGAACATAGATTCCAGTTTTGGAAGAAAAATGCAAGATTTTTTTGCTGGAAGAAGATTCTTTGCACGTTTTGTGTCAAACTTATAGTCATGAGGATATGGTCCTCCTTTCCTCCTTCACCACAATCCGCCTCCTTCCTGTATCCGTCTTTTGCTTCCCCCTTTCCCTCTTTCAATACCACCATCGACCACTTGTATTCGTGTACGAGTGTGTCGATTCACAGTACAAAGTGTAAGTGTCTCTTTCTTCGCAAGCTATCAAGTGCACCGATTCGCCTTCGCCCATTCCATTCCCGAACCTTTCTTCCAGTGATGACTTTTCACTCCTTTCCCCGGCCTATACGACCATGCCGAGACGATAAGGAAGCTTGTGTCGCAGCAAGCATCTATTGTATCTTTTGTGCATGCCAGCACACTTCTGTCTGATGGACATCCTTTGCCTAAGGCCTTCGTCTTCGCCAGAGACATTGCTTAAAGCGAAGCACGGACGGGCAAAGGCGATTCGCGGCTCAGCAACCAAATATCTCAGAGAACACTCAGCTAACATGCTGTTCTTTCATCATTGCCTCTCGTCGCCGCTCGCAGTCATCCTTCAACTGTTGAACCTTTCTGTTCCCTTCCTCGGGTTCACCATTCCCCACCGTTTAGCGTAAGTGTCCCTTCGCCACGACCCAACCGAAACATCTCTTTCCGCGGCGACACACGACGGCGGACGCAGGCCACCCAAGAGTCTCCGAAGATGATAAACCTGGTATCCAACCAAATTCGCAGTTTCCACTCTAGGACCCTAGCATCCCCCTGGGGGTGGGGCATTTTGGCTCTCCTTGCGAGAGATTCATATGGGTTGTTTGCGGCCATCTTCTTTGGAAGAGGTCCACGGCACGAACCCTCCTTCGTTTACGAAGGAGAGCCGGTGGGCCAGTGCCGCCTTCTCGAATCGTTTGTATCGTCTGGATCGCAGCCGGCTCTGGTCTGATGAGGGTTTGCAGACCTTCCTTGGAAGTCTGAGGGGCATTTTTACTCATGGGTTGTTCTCGTCATCCGTCCATCGTCCAACTCTTGATGTCGCGAGAGAAGCGATGTCGCTTTTGTCTTCGACTGTCCGTTCGACCACAACAGTACGCTGACTCTGACTTCTCTCTTCATCCTCTGCTCAACGCCATGCTTGGACGCTTTGCCTGAACCCACAACCAATCTTCGCACGACGAACAGCCCTCCTGTACAATAGTTTCACACGAGGCGCACTGGTCTGGACCCTCTCCTGCACGGTGCGTACCGCAGTTCCAATCCCCCATGTTGTTTGACAAGATCTTTGATCTGCCCCTTTCGCGAGGGACTTCTGTCTTTGCTTCCTCTCTGTCTGCTGCTGCCACTGTCTTCCTCTGCTCCCCCTCGATCGCTTTTCCCTCGGACGACGTTGCCGCTAACAAGATGAGCTACTCAAGTATAAACCGATGTGCACTAGGAAGAGCCGTCGTGAGCGTGCGGTCTGTGTGCTCCTTGTCGTCTCATTTGGGACACTGCGCGCGGAGATGATCTTGCTTGCTTCTGGCAGCTTGGTGCTAGACTCGTCTGGTGCTTGAGGCAGCCGAAGTAGGTTTCGTCGCTGGAGCTTTGTCTTTCCGAGGTCTTGTCTGTCGTCGAGCGAGTCCTATGTTCATCCCTTGCTCGAGCGTCTCCGCGGTCGACGGGTCCCGTTTCTGCTGTACTCTCCTGCGCTGCAGATGCTCGGACGAGCGTAGGTTGATTCGAGCTTGGAACCTCACGTCTGGACGAGATAGGCAAGTTGGGTGCCGCGTTTCGCAAGGTCGAAAGTCTGGTTTCCTGAAATGTCGGCAACATCAACCACTGGAAAAGCGAGGAGAGCAAGGGTGAATGGCCAGCAAGCAGAGATAGATAGAAATGGACAAAATCTCACCTTTTCCCTTACTTCTGGTCTGGGCCAGCCGAACTGACATCTTGGCGTTACTCGTCTTCGCACTCTTCTGTTACAACAGGCAACAGCTCAAAAGCATCGATAAGCATGTCGTTCCTCGCACGCAACTTCTTCGGCCAGGCAAGGCCAAGCCTTTCCCGACAGGCTGCCTCTACATTGGCATGGGGCATTCGACACGAGACTTCATCCGCCGCCGCCAAGACGACTGTCGCCTCCGGCTACGCATCCAGCGAGTCGGCTCCTCCGACACACTACCGCATTACACTACAACGATCAGGTATCGGCATGCCTGAAAAGATCAACCGTTCACTCCAGGGTCTTGGCCTCAAGAAGCGTCTTCAGTCTGTCTACCGCCCCATCGGCCCCGACATGGCTGGTGCTATCCTCGCCGTCAAGGAGCTGGTGCATGTCGAGAATGTGCGACGATTGCATGAGGCAGACCAGATGCTGCTGAGCGACGAAGAGGCTATCTGGATCAACGAGGTGGGCGAAATCGTCGACCCTGGCAAAGCAGCCAAGAAGGCTCCCCGGGGCTACAAGATCGTTGGCAACGTTGTGAGCGAACTTCGCGATCAGGAAATCAAGAACGGCTCTTCAGCATAAACAGCCTGATAGTCAAGGTAACTTCACTTCTCTCACTGTATTACTAGTCTTTTGCTTCACTACCGTCGTTGGCAGTGCGTGCTCTCTTTCTTCCCTACGGAATCATACCCATCTTCTAAGCATCGATCAATGTGTTCCTGTGTGTGCGTGCTGTCCAGTGAGTGTTAAAGGCCAGAGACCGGCCTGTATTGGCAGTAACTGACATCTGCAGGTTCGCATCGGCAGTTCTCGGAGGGCCTTTCAAGCAACCTGCGCATTACAAGAGTGCTTTCACACCATCTCAAGTAGATCGCGTCTAGTCATCGTGACGTGCGTCTTTCGGGAGGTACAAGCCACAATGCTGCAAACAGATCAGATGATGCGATTCGTAGGGCTAAACAATCCTATCCGATACAGTCGATTTGCTCTGCAACGGCTGTAACCGGATGACCATGACTCGGATACGGGCAATGGTGACTACCACGCGAGATAACGAGAGCAAGTGAAGCATCTTGAGTTGAAGCATGCGATCCCTCAACGATGAAGCATGTGGCGTCTCAGAGTTTACAGCTTCCACGCCGAACTCGCATTTAAACGCCGACTTAGCTCACTCAGTTTTATCGCATTACCCGGACCGACCTTCGGGTATCAGGGCAACGGACGCTGGTCATTGGATAGTCAACATAGCTTCTCCGAGGCTCCATAGTCATGTTATGGCCTCATCGTTCTAGCATCACACATATGCACGAAGGGTATTGAGATATAAATAGACACTCAAAGGACCATGTACTTAGAAAGTTCCTCATCGCAATTGATACTTGTGATTATTGACTTTGACCGCATTTGATTGATCTCGACGACGCTCTTCAACTTCTTGCCTCGACTAGACCCTAGCTTGAACTGATTCACAGACCGAGAAAGGTGCGATTGTATCGGGGAGGGGAGTCACATTGGCTGATCGGATTAGGCTACCGATCGTCAATTGCAATCGTCGATGGGTTTTACCAGAACAGAAGATTACAAAGTACGATACGCTGTTCTGGAGCCACTAACAAGCTCCTTTACCTCAGACGTATGACTTCTTGAATACTTGACATTTCTATGGTGAGATGTGACTATGTGAGCATATACAGCTCGCACGTAAACTGTCCCACGATTTTACATGTCACCACACATCACTCCAATGCTCAATAGCCATATGTCTGATTGCCACACTGTCTGATATTGTCTGAAAGCCCTGCTTCTTCTCTCCAAGACTGTGTAATTGATATTGACATTACATGCAAAAATTGTGCTTCAAAAAAGAGCTGAGAAATTTTTTATTGTGAGAAAGTTTATGGAGCATGCTCCCAAATAGCAACACCACTCCATTCCTGACCTTGTGGGCTTTTGACTACAATGAAACTTGCAATGTAACTTGGTGGGCACCTTCATACACATCAAAAGTAGTGACATGGAAAGTTTCAGCTCAATCAGATGACTGTGAGTGATCTGGCAGCACTTCCAGTCTGACACCATCATATCTATACCATCATGCTGAAAACCACCCCAGAGAAGTGCCAATTGGCACTCTTTCACCTCCAAAATGGGGAATTTACCCATTCAGTTGCTGAGCAACTTGGTGTCATGGGCCTGGATGCTCAAGAAGCAGGAGGGTCACGGGTTCATATGGAAGGAGCACAGGTATCGAAGATCTAGTCGAGATCAGTAGAGAGCATGGTTGTAGTGCAGTCTCCATGGAGACCATGGACTCCTACAGACTCACATGCAAAGAAGGGCCAAGCACAGCCACGAGGAGGACCAAGCTCAAGGAGCAGGCACAGCCACGAAGAGGACCAAGCTCAAGGAGCAGGCACAGCCACGAAGAGGACCAAGCTCAAGGAGCATGCAGATGGTTACCACTCAGGGGCTCGAGAGACAAGAGCCAAAGGAACTGTCACTGATCAAAGGAGAAGGAGCAGTGTAGAAGGAGTCGACACCAGGTCATGAGGAGGAGGAGCAGTGTCGAAGGAGTCGACACAGCTCAAGAGGCACAGGGGTGCCAAGCAGGAGAGGCCCCTGAGCAGTACTCGATGAAGAAGGTACTCTCTGGAGAGAGAGCAGGAGCAGCATCACTGGCGATGCTGAGAAGAGGTATATAACCATGCTTTCTCATCATCAATAGGTCGAGTGGATCCTCATCCACTCTACTCACCATAACTAGTTATCACTTCAGCAGAAGTATATATTAGTTTCAGTCAGCATAGCAGCAATCCATCAAAGGTTGCTCCTCATCGTAGTGTGTGTGTTGTATCACCACTACCTGACGTCCGAAGGCGCCCATAGCAGGTTAGCAGTCCAGATCAAGATAGAACCGAAGGCAGTAGTCCACTGCAGTCCGGGGATCACTTCAAGCATCAAGTCAACACACTGGACACTTGTGTTGACACCACCAACCTTATCACCAACACCATCAACCTCATTATCATCGACATCACCAATCTCATCACCAACACCATCAACCTCATCATCATCAACACTTACACCAGACCTTGGTGTCATCATAACATTGATATTGATCGTGCCGAGCTACCCCTGAACGGAGTGTCCACAGAGGTCAGCCGAAACCTATGATAGTATATACAACGAACGCCACCTGCTGTCACTGCACAATTTGATAGTCACCGATACTGAGACAATAGCTGTCGCACAGTTTGATAGTCACCGAGTATCTCGACAGACCGACCTGGGTTTCAGGCGCGAGACCCCTGACACTACCCCTGAATGGAGTGTCCACAGAGGTCAGCCGAAACCTACGATAGTATATACTACGAATGCCACCCATCGCGCAACTTGATAGTCGCCGAGCAACTAGCTCGTCAAGACCGATACCGAGACAATAGCTGTCGCACAGTTTGATCGTCACCGAGTATCTCGACAGACCAACCTGGGTTTCAGGCGCGAGACCCCTGACACTCAGCACCTGCAGTCCAGTCAGTTATTGTAGGCAGTGTCTAAACACCTGTGGTCCAGTAACTCCCATCATCTGTTACTGGACCGCAGGTGTTTAGACACTGCCTACAATAACTGACTGGACCACAGGTGTTGAGGAACACTGCCTACAGTTGGCATCCAACAGTGATACAACACACACATTTGAGATGTCATTGCAAAGCTATGCTATTGCAATGATATGAGTCAAGTAAAGAGTAGTAAGATAAAGAGTAGAGTGGATGAGGATCCACTTGTATGCTATGGTGAAGTGGTAGTATATATGTTTTTGGAGGGTGTCATCTGTGACACTGCTCCTGCTCCTCTCAAGGAGTGTTCCTGTCCTCCCTCATCTCCTCCTCTTCTTCGAGCTGTGTGTTTGGCCTTCTCAACACTGTCTGTTCTCCTCATGGTTCCCATGCCAATCCCTTGGGCCAGCTCCCTTCCTCTCTCAATCCATTGCCATTCCATTGGCCCCTAACTGATGGTCCTTCTTGACCATGTGACCAACCTTATTGTCCTGCTACTGTCCTTGCAGTCTACCTTGTGACCAGTTCTATGTGATCACAAGCATGTCCCCCTCTGTGGTAACCTGCTGTGTGCTCCTGGGCTCAGTACTCTCCTTGGCTGAACTGGGACCCTCTCCCATGTGAAACCTCTCCCATCATCCTAACCTTGCCCTTGATGATGGAGGCCTTCTCTGCTCATCCTCCCATGGTTTCCTTGTAGTCCATTGGCTCATTCTGTCTTGATGGAAGCTTCTTGCAATGCATTTGGTGAAATCAACTGGGTAGTCTTATTCTGGTTGATTTCAGTAGAATCAACCAGACAAGTGTGATGTGGTTGTTGTCAGGGAAATCAACCAGAACACAGGTTTCCAGTTGATTTCGCAATTTGAGCACACAAAGCTCCTCATACCTCATTTTGGATCTTCCTGCGCAGTTTCCATGACAGATATCTCGGCTTTGCCCTCAACCTGCTCGAAATTTTCATCGACATCTTCAAATAATGATGTTGACATGATCATTGTGTTTTCTTGCCATGTGTCACCTTGGAGCTCTAAAAGCCCTTGCTCACAATTCTTAGCCATCTTGAGTAGCATGCTGTTCACTAAATGTATCTGCCTGCTGGCAGAGTCCAGTGTCACTTGTGCTCCTTCATCTGTCAGGAAATTGGTTGACAAGAGGTTAACATTGAGATGCCTAACATACAATACATTCTGGAGAAACACATCTCCATAGTTTGTTGATAGGTTGGCATCTCCTATAGCTGTCACTTCTAGAACCTCGCTTCCAGTGGTGAATATTCACTTTTGGTAGGTTCTAGGACTTATGAGCATGCTATAGGTGTTGAACATGTGATAACTGGCCCCTGAGTCTAAGATCCAATGGGTTTTTTCTTTTGAGTCTAGGGGCCTCTGCCAACTTGGTGTGAAGGAACACCAGATTTCCTAGTTGGACTTGGCAAGGGAGGAGTTCTTGGGAATGGTTACCAAGGCATCGCACTGCCTAATTCCATGTCTGGATTGTTTACAGATCCAGCATCAAATCTTTTGGGGCCTAGCAGCAACTTTGGCACTGGTGCAGTCTTCATCCTTCTTGTCTTTCTTGTCCTGGTCATCACTGCCATCAATTCTGGCACTGGCTTGGCAAGGATCAACCTTCTGAGTGGGGTTACTCTCGATTGCCAACTGCTGAGTGGTCAAGGCAGTGGCAAGGGTGCTGAAGGTGGCTAATGGTGGCGACCGTCTCTTTGTACATCGGGTGGCGAATGGTGCATTTCTATAGGTTTGAGAACAGGGTGTTGTAAGCGGTCGCGCACCTGAAACCAGATTGGGTGCTTATGATTGATTTCGGTGAGATCAATTGAGTAAGATCTACTTGCTATGTTTCAATTGAAAGTAACCAGACAGCTTCGTTCTGGTAGGTTCCAGCTGACTGCCTTGAACACTCCATTCAGAGGCTGTGTGGCACATCTGTTACTTCCTGGGTTGAGAGTCTTACACTCTCCTATACAGCACAAGTGTTTGTAGTACTGTCGATTGATGCTCT